GTCAAGCCGTGAGTGGCACACAGTGAGAGCAGCCTGTCACCGTTCGCATTCGCTGAGCCAATGTCATGCGGACCGATAACATCTGTCCACGCTGATGCATCACGCCCAACGCGCGCGTTGAAATCACCCAGCAGAAATAGTCGGTCGCTCCTCGGCACAGACCGTATCACGGAGGATAGCTCAGTGCAGAATTGATCACGAGTGTCATCAGGATAACACATAGTCGGACCGTATGTGCTTATAAAGGTGGCAAACTTACCTCTTCCGAGTCGTAGGCGAACAGTCATCAGTCGCGCGCTGATGCCCGTTGGTTCACCCACCAGCTGGCCATGGGGGTGATCGGATATTGCAAATCCGACCCCATGATCACGTGGTGCTGAGGCGGCGTTGCCCACCCAGTAGAATGTGTAGCCAGCACCTGCTTCATGCCACTTACCTTGCTCAGCGGGCCGGGTTTCACTGAGCGCCGCAATATCGATGTTGTAGCGCGCCAGCTCCATTGCGACCAGTGCAGTGCGTCGCTCCGGGCGCTCGCTGGAGTTCCGGTCCAGTGGTGTGCGCACGTTCTAGCACCCGATGCTGAGTGCTTTGCGCGCAGGCATACGATTGCATTAGTGGGCAATCGCACGCGAGGTGGTCGTTGTGCTTCGGAGGTTTCCTTGAGGGACTCCACCCGGATCCTTTGGCTCAATAGCCTGACCCACAAGGCAGTGGGTGATTTGGAGGTTTGCTTGAGGGACTCCGCCCGGAGCCTTTGGCTCAAAAGCCTGACTCACAAGGCATTGAGGAGAAGATCCAGCTCTGGAATGTGATTGCAGAGACAGATTGGGATCTTCTTGACGGCCGTCACACGCAGCCTTTGAGGTTCTGGAACGATTTATATATGTTTTGCGACCGTAATAGGATACGCACCTACAACCACGACCAGACGCAGGTGGGTTTTGGCGAGTTCACACCAATTTGACCAGGGGCTGCCTGACTTGAGGCGGGCAGTAGCAAAACATTGAACACCCGGAGGTGTCATCCCACCGTCTGAGACAATGCGTGGCGCTCGTGCTCTACGCTAATCGAGCTGTGAGCTTCTAACCCGCAGACCTGTTGTCTCCCATGGCTAGGTTTTACGGAAAGAGGGCTATCGACCACTTCCTAACCTCCGAAGAGGATGGACTAGGATACTGGCAGGGCGCCCACTCCTGACAGGAGAACGACTCGGGTCCTCAGCCAAAGCCGGCGATTAAATGAACACCCGAAAGGCAGCGGGTCTAGCACATGGTCAGTTCACTGACTCATGCGGATTGGTGTCCTGGATCTTAGCAGGGAGAAGGGCGATACCCAAATCCCACCCAGCGGTCGCCACGAGGAGGCGCCCGGATATGAGCAAATGGCACAACAGTAGCAGCAGTGGGTAGACCATCTGTCAGGATCTAACCACCACCAGCCTTAGGGCCCCATAGGCTCTCCCGCATATATATATATATATATATATATATATAGATCATCATCATCATCATCGCCATCATCATCATACACGTTAGGCAGAGGTGGGGAACACCTCAGCTACTGTGCCGCAGTACATAGAAAAAAGGAGGAAGAGCCGAGACGCTCCAACCGAGACCAGCTCAGAAGTGAGGGCCTTCATTCCTCTCGACCAAGTCATCGCTTGGCCACCTCTCCTCTTCTTCCATACACACCCCAGGCGCGCAAACAACGCACGTCGTGGGAGTGGGTGGGCTGGCATGCGTAACACGTGGCCTATATGGTTGGCGGCATCCGGTTTCGGATTTGCCTGTCACTGTAGCCAGCCACAGGACGCCTGCGCCTACAGAGGGACCACGGGTGGCTTGCGCTGCACTACCCACAGCTCCAGCCACATGCCCCATATCGTGAGTGGCTTGCGCTTCCCCACCCACAGCTCTATCTACACACCCGATATCCAGTGTAACTCGGATGTGAATGGGAGCCACGTTTCATCAGCAAAGTCGGCCCATGCTTCTTCAACAACCGGAGCGGGAATATTCCTGCATAATTGGGAACTCTTGCATATCATACGTACACAAGGCGGTGGCTGGACTGCGGCCCGTTCCAGACTGGATGGGTGGAACCACTTATAGCCTAGCACCGTCACGAGGATCGTGCACCGCGTCCATTCCAGCAACGACCAACTGTGTCTTGGAGTCTACAGACGAGGTGGTGAATACTAGACAGGTAGGCACCTTGTCAACATTGACACTTAGTACTGTCACACTGGTGATAACCATCAAAAACCAACCCTTAAAATACAAGCAACTCAACACACAGGTACAGACTATCTACAACGACGATGCGGCACACGTACCACACCAACCGCCTTATTGGACTGGGTTAGTAAACTGAATCCGATGCAACGAACTTACCAAGCGCTGTGCTGACGTTGACTACATATTTAATTCACCTGTCTTAGACGTTGGCCCAACGTAGCGACCCTGGTGATTTGCCAAACTAGCTTAGCTCAAACGCGACTGCATGTGCTAGAGCACAATGCGCTCGACGTTGATGGGCTATCCGCCATATGCGCCTGTTCTTTTCTCAACCGATGCTTCTTTTCCTCATGCAGTAGTGATTTTTCATGCGCTGGGCAACTGCCTTCTTTATATGCTCGCCATCGTTGCTGATCCACTGCTATCTCTTTTCAACACATAAACTAACTATTAGCTCGTAATTAACTCACCTTGGTAATGTCCTGGTAAGGTAACGTCGGTTTTCCCACGTGCTGCTTCCTTGCACGCAGTTGGTCAGAAAACAGCTGTTTTGGTATCCGAGTCGAATTCATGCGAGGAATATGCTCGAGCTACCTCAAGTGCCTCAGCAGAAGTATGCAGTCCACTGCATACATGGCATTGCGTCGGAGCATATCCGTGTCAGCAGCTCGGTCACCCCCAGACGATGCGCATAATACGACACAAGCACTTGATGAAAATGCTCCAGGTTATAGACCTACTTTTGATATAGCCTCCAGGTTTCTCTCACGTGTAAGAGAACGGACAACACCATATACTAGCAAATCATCAGCTTCGTCTCGGACAGTGAGCTGATGATTGTTTCACACACGTTTTTCCAGCTTGCCAAACGCGGCAGCTGCCTTCGATATGCGCAGTACGCTCGTCATCCGCAGATCGTTAGACATTACGCTGTCTAGATAGCACTATATCGAAGTGGATTCCAAAATGTCGTTCCCAATGTGGATTTTCGGCTGGCCCACGGATTCCGCTTCTGGTCAAGGCTGAAAAAGGCGCATGGTCTTGCTTGTTTTGATAGTGATCCCGAATTTGACCGCTGTTAGGGCCAGAGCACTAGTCATGGGCTGCAACTCATTCGCGCTGTGTGCAAACAACGCACAGTCATCAGCGAACAGCAACCTACCGATGGTTGTCTCACAAACTAGGGTTCTCGACCGAAACGACGGATGTTCAACAGCCCGCCATCAATACGGTGCTGCACAAAGACGCCGTATTCACAAGTAGCATCAAAGGCGCAGGACATTGCATGGAGGTAGATATTGCAGTGTAGGGGATAAGATGTTGCTTCACACCAGAGACAGCAACAAAGTCATCCGAGGTTTGTCCACATAGCTGCACCGTAGTGCGCATACCACTGTGTAGACATACAATTCAAACCTACCCAACACCACCCACAATGCCTCACGGTTCACCAAATCGGATGCCTTCGTGGTGTCTATAACCAGCGGGTACGATGGTTGGTGCCACTCCCTGCATTTCTCCTGCAGCTGACGAGCCGCGAATAATATGTCTATAGTGCTGCGACTTGAACAGAATCCACATTGCTCTTCCTCCACGTTAGGTTCCACAACCTGAGTGGTGAGGCGGTTAAGCAGGATTCGGGCAATCACCTTGCCCACACAACTCAGCATGTTGATGTTTCGATAATTCGTGCAACCTCGCCTGCTTCCTTTTCTCTTGTACAGTGGTAGCACAAGGGCATCCTTCAGCTCAGGAGGCACCTCCTCCTCAATCCGTACGCGTTGCACCAAGTGGTGCAGCGCAGTCACCAACGCGGGTCCGCCGTGTTTTAATACTTCAGGCGGGATCCCGTCTGCCACGGCACACTTGCCGTTTCGCAGCTGAGCAAGTGCTCTGCGTCTCATCCAATCTCGGCTTGTCAGCAAGACACATCTCTTGTTGTTGCAGCCCGTGCAACACAGTTCACTCAGTCTCTGAACGGTTGTTCAAGAGACAGTCAAAGTGCTTTCGCCGGATCTGCAATCTGTGTTCAGGTAGTGCCTGAAATAGGATGGAGCAACGTCCTCAGCGGCTGCAACCTTGGTCCATGTCATTGGTGTGTATTTTTTCTGCTAACAGGCCTCAAATTCACGCCATTCAACTTCTCACCAGGCACGTTTTTCACAGTAAGCTGGCGTTCTATTTGCTGTTTCTGGCTGTTCTGGGCACTAAGTGCTGTTACCGTGCTTTATTTGCCTGTGGCTCACGTTGATAGAATATGGACCTGCTTCTGAGTGACTTGCCTGAATTTTACAATTTGTGTGTGGATTGTGCTGTGGGCGGTATCACTTTCTCCACACAGTGGTATGCAAATCCAGCCCCCCGATTTCGGTGTCTTGCGTTCAGGTGGCTATCGTGCTTACTTCCACGCGCTACTGCCAGGTTCTTTGCTATCGTATGTGACAGCTTATTCATTGGTTTCTTTTTTTGGTGCTCTCGCTTTCACCTGTTTGATATTTGTTCATCGGTGTGTTTATACCATTTTCTATGGTCATAGTGAAGCTGCTTGTCACTAATGAAGCATACTTACCCACTCCAAAATATGCTTTGTAACAGTTCTGCCTGCGTTGTGTTTTTAGCCCTTACATCCACATTTCACTTATGCTCAGATACCGTGGTTTGTGGTTTTATAACACGCATGTTATGGTTTTTCAGTCTTCCATCCACTTTTATTTGCAATGTTGTTTTGTTTGTCGATGACCATTTATCCATCGCTTCTTTCAGGTTCCCACGCGTTTGCAATCATTCTGCATCTGGTGCCCGGCATCTCTGACTTTCAGGATTCCGTCGCATTGCCACCAACCCCTAATGCGGGCAAAAATGACGCCAGCGTTTTGACAGACGAGTCGGAACGAATCAGTGGGGAGGATAAAAACCTGGGGCTCGTGGAGAAATCGGACTCGGTTCGGGACTCGCATGCCGTGCACGTAATCTACGGCAAACGGGATGAACAAAGCGTGACTGTCAGGCATCGTCGTCACTTCAGCCCATACTTTGCTCTTTGCTTGTCTTCATTCTCATTGGCGTTTTGCTGTTTTCTTGTGCACGGCGCAGTGGCTCGTCAACCCACTCATCTGTTGCCGTTCTTCTTTCTGCAAGTCTTTGACTTTATCATTTCACTCCTCACTGTTGTTGGTTACATGTCCTCCACTTCGGATGTTCGGCTCTGGCTCCACACAAAGGTAAATGTTGGCTCCTCTTCCTCTCTCTATCCACTTATACATGCACTTTGGACGAATCCTATGAAGATTTTCTAGTAGTTAGAATGGACTCATTCAGATGTCGATTCCCTAGTAGTTTATGCTGCCTTATATCGTTAACCACCACTACGTCTTTCTTCACCATATACATCTGCATGCTAATGCTATCCGTAACCCGTGATCGTTTAAACCATAAGTAATTTCTAGCTTGGCACAGATCTGTTTGTTCGCTATTGTCCAATGCCATGACAGTGAGCTATAGCTGCTGTCCACTGGGGTCTGAGGCGCGTCTAAGCCTGTGACTATCGGTGCCTGCGAGGCATTGGTCGTAGTCAGCAGTATCGACGTGCTCCACGACGAGATACGCGGGCGAGCACTGGATATTGCGTGTGATCTCTCCCATTCGCTAGAACGTATGACACGTATATCTACCCACCGCTTGCCAGGGCTTTGTTTTGCTTACCTGGTAGCCTAGAGCTCGGTTGTGACTTCATCAATTTGGAGGGGGGGGGGCGAAAGGACTACGGTTACTAGATAAAGCGCTGTTGGCTTGCCTAGTTATCGTGCCGAAGAGTCCAAGCGATTCAGTTTATCAGTTGAGAATAGTACAATTGTTACTGCTTGGATCAGAAACATAACCACTTCGCATTGAAGGCATTATTAAACTACTTTGATCACTGATGCTATCTGGGCATTGCTTCTATCTGAGGGGATCTCCAAATGATCGATACTGTAGCCCACCAGTTGGTGCATAGAAAGAAACCGTCTACTGCTCCAATACGGTGCCTAGTAAAATAGGCTTGGTCACGTTCTCTGTATGCTCACTAATCACCTACCTCAGATTGCATCATATGCTGCCACTGCACCTATTTGTGCTAAATCCCATCGCGACGAGACTGGATCATCAGCTGAGGAAATAATAGTTTTGTTTGTGTCCGTCAACGCATGCAGTTCAGTTCACCTCAGTCAGCCACAATCTAAGCAATGAAGTGTGTTCGACCCGGTCACCACCACCACATGCGTCGTAACGATAAAGCGAATGAATCCAAACGACTTTTAACCGTATTCTTGGCTTGATTCCAACCAAGACCGATGGACTAAGTACAACCACAACAGTAGCTTCTAATCCACACAGTGTTAGCTGCCTAACTGCCCATGCGACATACCACAAAAATTACAACTCCACGTGTCATCTAACCGAGCAGTTCTCACAACTTTTCATTCGGTATGCGCCACAGCTTTAGGCTACGTAATGTTGAACAATGTCGAGGCCTAGTTAAGCCAGGCACGCGTCTCGCTTGCTAAACTAAGGAAAGATGAATCGCAGTTAGAACACTTTGGCATCCATTGTATGGTGTGAGCTTTCTTTCAATCGATGTGCACGCATATCTGCATCGATCTAATTCATTTTCGCACTTATTTTTGTCGTGTTCTCACGCGAAGTGTCACGCTACCATCAGTGTGACCTTGCTCTCTTCTGTTTTGTGCTTTGATTTCGGCTGGTTCAACATGAAAGCTCTCACCGTTCAGCGATATGAAAGTAGTAAGGTATTTAAAAATTTGAGCTTCTGATTGACTTACGAACGTTTCCCGTAACATTTACTGTTTATTCAACTTCCGTTTAGCTTGCTGGATCAGTCGCCTCAGCATGTTTTTTTCACTCTAATTACACAGACCTTCTGTAACGGTAGTTGTACGCTATGAATATCCGATCTATATGCGATTTGCACCTGTGAAAGACAGCTAAGTACTCCTCCGGTTTTCTGCTTATGCGTACTCACTCAGCTTAAGTCATGCGAATGGGACATGGGAAGCGCTCACCGATCTCCCACAAACACACGCAAACTATATCACATGGTCAACCTTAAAACAAGGCAGTTCCGATTCTCGAAATCGTAGATTGCACTCTGAACCGATATACAAAGTCATTAGTTGAGAGGGACTTGGAAACATTCGGTCGATCTATTTGTTGACCAACGTTTATTTTTTGAATCAAGCGTTATTAAAATCACCAGCCACGATCTCACTTCAAGTGTTTCAGTCACAACGGGAATCATCCAAAATTTCTCCATGTGCATCATCACATTGACAGAGAAGCTCTTGGTCGCTTCCCCTCCGGACCCGCGCATCGATGCTCGTCATACTGGTAGGAATAAGATCATTCGCTATACATTTGCGTGTTCCACGCCCTTCATACTGTTCCCACAGCTTTGTCGGCCTTGACGATTTACGCCGCTTCTGAACCCAGGTTTCGTTGCTCCTACTAGCTTGCTCGTTTTCAGATGTGCAGACAGATTTTCGCCACTTGCTCATACTCAACAATAAACGTCACATTCGCGAGTTTTATGGTCACTGCTTCATCACCTTTATTGATGTAGGGGAATTACTGAGCTTTCACTTTCCAATTGGTATTCCACAGTTACCTCCCCTAAGAGGAAGACGTCCATTTCCGCTACACGCTGTAGCCGGCGGTCATTTGCTGTTGATGCCAATCAAGCGACCTTTTGTCGAATGCATTCGACATATTGACAGCTAGCATTGTCGTAGAGCTTGTGTTCCCGCTAGGTTCATTCACTCCATTAACGATTGGTGTACTTCAGGTTAGCGATACAACACTACGGCCCCACAGACCATGGATATCACTGACTCTATTGTTTACTATTGTCAGAGGCCCCCGTTAAACATTGCGTAGTATCACGCTTTCCGTCTTGGTCTTTCGCTGGTCCCCATTGGTAAGGGTGCCAGTTTCTGGCCGTCAACGAACCTAACCGACGATATTATTTTTTCTATTTTCTCATTATTACTATTATTGACTTGGCTACGTAAGTTACGGTAACTTGACGCGCCACATTTCGAAGCACTGATCTTAGATGATGAACTGGACCGAGCTTTATCATCAAACTAATTGACGGTTTCAGTTAGAGGCTTCAGTAGCTCCATGCTGCAAATTCACCACAGTGGTCGGGTATGTCTTTTCGTTTCACTTCGCTATTCGTCTCAACAGTGACTCTCAGAGGCGACACAGCTATCTAAATAGCTAAACCGACCTACCGTTTCAGACGTTTATTCCCAATCACGAAAGAACTGCTCGAAATGATCGACTGCTTTATTCATCCAGGTTGTTAAATCACCTCGGATGAGATTAACGCACGCATCGTGAAAGCTCTTTTCGCTTTCCATAGTCTCATTCGCTAGTGAGGAGGGCTTATTTTTTTATAGCGCTGCGGTGTGACCAGTGTATTATCCTATGATTTAGAAATCTGGCCTCTGCGCTGAGTACACTATATAAGACTGTCCATTTTTGACCGTCGATATCTGCACTCGCTGTTGCTCGTGAGAGAACCGAGTGACGAACGCTGCAGTTCCCCATACAGTGCTTTGAAAGCCTACTGAATTTGAATCACCTTTGTTGACTCGATGATGAGCTCTGCTTGTCGACTGCCTCAGCGTGTGTTGTATTCCAACGCCGCTCCCGGTTGGATGCAACCCCGAGGTGGGCCATCAGCTATATGGAAGATGAATATGCGAAGGTACCGAGTAGCTGAATCAGATTGGTTCCTACAGTCTTCCCGAGTGGGCACCCTAATGATTTTTTTTACCCTTGGTTTGATCACACGATTGGCCACATGCTCTATGGGATGTGACATTCACGGGGTCAGGAGAGCAGTTACAGTCGTTCTCTACTTTTTGATCCGTAACCGCTGCGTTTGCTGATTTTCTTTCCTGCTCACCCCTCTTGCACCGTTGTTGTGGTTGCTGCTAGTGTTGTTGTTGTTGTTGTTGTTGTTGCTGTTGTTGTTGTTGTTGTTACTAGGTTGCCGATGTATGCCATGGTTGATGGATCCGCCACATCTCGGTGCACCAATCATAGTTAGAAACTAATAACAACAACTAACTGTTCTACCATTTTTCACGCTTTGAGCTGCTCGCTCCTCTTTCACTGACCCACTACATAAACTTGATCGTGTGCTGAATTTGTGAATCTCCAATGCAGCAATGTCTCATTGTTCAGATGAAATACTCATGTCCCATTGTCCCCCTTCTTTTTCAGGAGGGTCCTATGTACATCAATTCTGCTAGCCTCACCTTCTTACTACTGTCGATCTCATTCCTGGTCTTGGCTTTCAAAGCCTACTGTCTTGGAATGGTTTGGGACTGCTACAAGTACCTAATGCTCGCATACAACCGTCCAGATCGGGTAGACGATTGGATTGGTAGTCGTTTTGGCTTCTTACCATCGATTTGGGGCTTCTTTGGTGCTGGTCGACGTTCCGGTCTGATGCGAGGTAATTTACATGCCTCCGAACAGCACGGTGCATTTGGCTCTCGTTCAGACCCAGAAGGTGGTGCTCGATCGCCTCCGGCTGTGTATGATCAAAGCAACGATCTGCCAAACTACGAGGTAATTTTTTAGGTTTGTTCACTACCAGTGATTGTTCTGAGTTTTCTCTGCGCAACAGCCTCAATCAGTTATCCGCTGCTATTGCTTCTAACGTACCATTGTTGTATGCAGCTCGTCGCGCGTTAATTATGTATTCAGTTTTATCTCACTTACTGCTACTCTGTTTTAGAAAGCGAACCCCCTAGAATAACTCAGCTTGTACCCACCTAACATCACACATGACTCCGGGTTTGCGCGTGGGCTTTTGCCAACTTTGAATCAGGTAGCTGATTTCCCAAGCCACAGCAGCGCTGTGTAGGAAGCTGTTAAATTCCACTGATCCGATTGGGCGCCGTATCCTCTTTTCACGTGGTCAACCCACCCCAGCCAATATGTGATATTTCCGGTTTCTAATCAGTCCGCCGATACTACGTGCCAGCGCTTCGCTTCCAAGCGACCACCAACAGTCGCGTTTGTGCTAGGAATACGGTGAATACTGAATACCGTATTGTAGAACAAGTCGAAATGTTGTTCAACTTTTTTCGAAATATGGTGTAAAATATTATAAAAATTGTCAGCCGTGAATATCGTTATCGTCCTCATGTAACATTTAAAATAAACGAGAATATCCGTAGCTCTGGTTGTGGATGCGGATTTTGAGTTGTCCTCCGAGGTGAATGGTTAATCGTTTCGTTGCCTGGCTAGACAACATCATCAGTGCGGCTTCAGCGGCGACTTCAGTGTCCCAGTGCTTATTGATCGTGTTCTGCTTTGAATGCCAGACTTCAATAAACTCACTTCCTTGCCGGCTTTTAACTCTTCCGGGGATACTGGCGTGCTCTAGGTCGAATTGATGATTCTCGGCATCCGCATGCACCGGCATCAGGGAGTTCTGATAGTAGCGACCAAATATCTGTTTCACAGTTCGGTTTATCGGGTGTCGAACGCTGACACTTGGGTGCTGGGCGTTCCTCGACTTGTTTTAGTAACCGGAATCCGAATTTGGCAATGCTCTGTGTCGAATGCAGTAAATGTTACGTGAAATCTTCTTAAGCCAAATCTGGTGGTGTAGCTCAGCCCATTCAGTAATGTTATCTTTTCCCCATCAATATATCACTCTAAATTTCGCTTCTGCTCGAGAAATGTGAGAAGCAACTTTGCTTCATTCAGCTATCCTTCTTGATTCTTGTTAAGTACGACCCTTAGCCGATGAACGGAATAGAACACGCACGCGTAGTATGGAACCGATTTACTAAAAGCATCCTGTGTCACAGTGGCTAGCAAAGCCGGAAAAGAAAACCAGTGAACTAAGGCAAGTAAGCCAAGGTCATGTAAAGGCCTGTCTTTACGAAACGATACTCAAGTGCGTACGTGACATCCCTCTCTTCCCTGGTCAAGACTACAGACTCCGGGTTGATACTGATCAATTGGCTTAGGCGTGCGTTTTGAGCGCCTTAACTCCGGTTGTACCGCATCCGTTTGTGGTTCCTGGTTTTGTGAAGCAGATTCTCCGTCTGTTATTGGGTCAGTAGCAGTCGCTTTTTGATCCCGCTTCTGTGGTTCGTTTAAGCATGGCCGCATGTGGTCAGAGTGGCGACGTATCACATAGCCGTCCTCCAGCTTTAGCTTCGTTTGGTTACTCGTTGAGGACATGAGTGTAGCAGGTTGCCAGCTCGATTCGTGAGGCAGTCTTGTGTATACCGGATCAAAATCATTAAGACATATTTCCTTTGGCATCTTTTCATCCACACACATTTTCACCTGCTTTTCCTCCATTCTCCTTCAAGGGTTTAAAAAAAAGTAAATGCAGCCTCCTTCGTAGTGGCCGGCCAAACGTTAATTCCGCGGGTGACTTCCCTGTCGACTCGGTGTCGTGCGGTAAGAGAACAGGAGAAGATCCGACTTAGTTTGTAGAGTTCCATGAGTCTGCTTGAGCAGACCTTGCTTAACAGTCTGGACTGCACCTTCTGCCATCCAATTCGACGCGGGGTGGTACAGCGCAGACTACATGTGCTGTATACCCTTGTTACTCGGGAACTGTTGAAACTCTTCACTGGTAAATGGGGTTCCGTTGTCGGTGCATACGTCTCTGGGATCCCAAAATAGCGAAGATGGAGCGCATTTTTGCAACTGTTGCTGGGGAAGTCGCATGTGAAACTGGATGTACTTCTATCCATTTAGAATGAGCATCAATCAAAAGTAGACACATCAACTCATTGGTTGGGCCAAGGTAGTCCGCGTGTACTCGCTGCCAGGGCCTCTCCGGCCAACGCCATGTACGTATCGGTCCGGGAGATTTTGCCTTTGGTATTTCTGACATTGTTCGCAGTTTTTCAGCATCCGCTCTATATCCTTATCAATGTTCAGCCACCAACAGTAACCACGTACCAGCACCTTTTCACGCCGGGGTGTGCGTCATGTAGCTCTCTCAGAAACTGCGGCCGTAGTTCTTCTGGTGAAACTATGCGCGAGCCTCGAAATATGCAGTCGTCGTATAGACTCAACTCATTACTCCGATAGTCGAATGGTTTCAGTTTGTCTGACCTGCTTGTAGGCCTTCCTGTCCTCAAGAACCGTTTCACCATCGACAACACATAGTCCCGGTCCCTCAGGCGCCGCTCCACGTCACTCCGGATGGGTCTTTTCAAGATGTTGCATTAAATTGATAAACTATATAGGTTCACTATCCCTTTTTGTGCCATGGTGCTACGGGAGGCGACTAAATGCATCGGCAATGGTATTACTTGGGTCCGTTTACCTACTAAAGTTTGTAGTTATAGGCGCTCAAAAGTAATACCCACCTTTACATTCGAGGCGAAGACATCTGTTGGATTCCTTTCTCTTCACCCAGAAGCGAAAGAAGTGGTTTATGGTCGGTGTGGATACCAAACTCTTCCCCAAACGTACGGCTGGAAATGCTTGACTCCGAAAATAATCGCTAAGGCCTCTTTGTCCAGTTGGGAGTAATTCCTTTCAGCGGGTTGCAGAATACGAGAAGCCAATGCGATTGGACGAAGAGAACCATCATCCGTCCGGTGGCAAAGCACTGCGCCTACTCCGCGTGGGGAAGCATCACACTGCAGCACTAGAGGCCGGCTCGGCTCGAACTGCACGAGATAAGGGGAGGCGCTGAGCATCCCTTTTTTATCTGTGTAGGCCTTTTTTGGTCTGGACCCCAAGTCCAGGACTTCCCCTTGTGCAACAGTGCGTACAAGGGTGCAAATACTGTTGAGGCCTTAGGTAAAAAGCGGCGATAGTGCGAAAACATCCTAAAGACGATCGGAGTTCAGCCTCATTCTTGGGTTCAGGTGCGACAGCGATGGGCTTTGCCTGTAAATAAATAACATGTTTATTCTCGACTAAGCGAGGCACGCCTGCACAAGCATGATCATGTTAAGAGTACAAAATGTGATCAGTTAATGTCCAATGGGATTGTGGCATGTTGATATATGAATATATGTAAGTGCTCTTGTGCGTGTGTTTAGCTGTTTATGGAATTTGTAAATGCTTTTCTGCCCTTTTGATCGTGCTTGAACCTGTCGCCAGTGTTAAATGGATGCTTGATGGCTGTGGACTTGAAGCGGTTGTCCGGATAAGCAATGAGTGACTTTAGTTGGTGGCGGGTCACAACCGCCACGTCACAGTGTTGTTAGACAGACATTGGTGGCTTTTTATAGGGAGGACGCTTGCCAAGCGAAAACCCACCACTTCCTGGAACAATACCGCCGAACTATTTGCTGGAAGGAGGTAAACCCGAACCACCCAGCTGGCACCACGAGGTTGTTCGGCTAACCAGCTACGTGTGAGCCGTTTTTGTCATGATAACCAAAGTAACGAACAAAATCTGAGAAAAACGTACTCTTGGTCTTCTTCGGTTTGAGTCCACTCTGTTGTAGACGTTCGAGCACATTGGATGGCGTTTGTAAATGTTCAGCATCTCTACGTCCTGTAATTAGAATTTCCTCAAGATAGGCACAAGTAAAAGGAATATCTTTGATCAGGTTATCAATGATCCTTTGGAATATCGCTGGGGCTGAACTGATTCCGAAAGGCAGACGTTTGTACTGGAATAGACCCATATGTGTACTTATCGTAGTGCATGAACGAGAGGTCTCGTCTAACTCAATTTGTAAGTACGCGTGACTGAGATCGATCTGTGTAAACTTTTGTCCGCCTGCCAGCGTAGCATACAGATCCTCTATCCGAGGTAAGGGATATTTATCCAGAATTGAACAACGATTAACAGTTAGTTTATAGTCACCACAAATATGCACGGAACCATCCGGCTTCAGGACTGAAACTATTGGATCTCCCCACTCACCGTATTGAACCGGCTCGATTGTTCCTGCTGATTTCAATCTCTTTATCTCGTCTTCCACCTTTGATCTCAGGAAATAAGGTAGGGTAAGAGCCCAGAAAAAGCGGGGTTGAGTTCCCGGCCGTAATTTGATACTAGTCTGATATCCGTGCAATTTTCCTAGTTTTTCATTAAAAACGTCAGAATATTTGTTGAGCACATCCTCCAAACGCTGGTTAATGGACATGAACTTCACTGTCTCTAGGGTGGTCGGAAGGTATTTAATCCAGTCGCGCCCGATTAAGTTCGGACTATCATTCGCCACATCTGCCTGTAAGGTTCGCTTCTCCCCATGGTAATTTACATGAACAGTGCATTTTCCCCGGACTGGTATCGGCTGTCCAGTGTACGTACGCAAAGTTACTTCACAGGGGGATACCTTGGGTAATCTTTTAACTGATGCAGCACTGATTATGGTAACTGAGGCATCGGTATCAACTTCTATTTTAGCCAACTGGCCTTCTATTTCCAATTACACAGTGTAGGGTGGATGAATGCTACAGATTCTCGACGTTGTGTTCCAGATCGTGTTTAACTACTCTTCTTCGTCTGAAGACGATGACCTTCACAGGCTTCTTGGGAAAACAGGATGTCGCGGCTGTGCGAGCTTTAGGTCGGCAAACTCGGGCCAAGTGCCCTAACTTTCCACCTTGGCGGCAGATACTCTGTTTATGACGACATTTCTCGGCTGATAATTGCTGACTTCCACATCGGTAACAGGTAAAAGGCAATTCAGACCATCTCGAGGTAACATCTTTTCGGCTGACTGCTTGGATTGTGTCTGTATGAGGTTACGAGGAATAAGCTGCTAACTGTTTATGGACCTTTTCCAGCTATCAAATAATATTGCAGGCCTTCTCCCAGCTCATCATCGTCTCATCTTCCGACAACAACCTTTCACGAGCCTGTTCGTTACGAATACCGGATATCAAGCACTGTAAAGCCATCGCCTTTTCGAACTTCGTAACTGTGATTTCATTATACCGACACACTGGTAGGGCTTGCTGAATCCGCGTAATGAAATCAATGACTTTTTCTTCAGGGCTTTGACGCAACGTCGATAAAGAATACCGCGCAGTGTATGTGTTCAGTTGTGAACCCCATAACCCGCTGTTGACTGTCTCTTTCTCACCTACATGGAAGACATCAAACTGTCTTTGGTTTTCATGTCCCAGAAATTATCACAATGATTTACTTTTGTGGCTTTCTGAGAATACCGTGTTTGGTTGCAAGATAGGCAGTAGTTCCAGATAATCCAAAAAGGTGCGCTTCCAGCGGTTTTCGGTGGCCGGTGTTGGTTTATCAAAAGGAATATTCCAATGTAGTAGTGTAGGAAGATGCAACATCCCACCTTTGTCATCAGAATCTTAAGTATGGCCCTTAGCCGATGAACGGAAGAGAACACGCACGCGTAGTATGGTACCGATTTACTAAAAGCATCCTGCGTTACAGTGACTAGAGAAGCCGGAAAGGAAAACCAATGAAATAAGAAAAGTAAGGCAAGGTCATTCTCAACCACTCATGTGAGGGCCTGTGTTTACGAACCGATACTTAAGTGCGTCCGTGACAATTTTTTTCATGACTATCACCCTATCCTGGTCCATCTAAGCTAACAGACGACTGCTCGTCCGCGTCAGAAATTCGTGGGCTTTGAAACATGATTAATGCCGTTTTAATGGTTTCTTTGCTTACTCTCCATCCGTAAGGAATGCGTCTTTTTTGAACATTCCTTGTGTTGAATTTCCACCATCTGAGGGCTTCGCTCATCGGTTCCATCTATTTAGGACGCGTTGAAGATACCCGCTAACGCTTACGCACCGCCTCCGTACTTCGCGCCGACAAACAACAACAAAACTCAATCTTCCAATGACAGTCCGGTTCTGGACGTTGTCGCACAAAATGCAGGCAATGTCGTGGACAATAAAAATGGGAACGGTCTCGATGGCAACGGCAAGGCTACTGCATAGAGATACCAACCTCCTAAGCCTGTGTTGACGCGCGCCGTCGCTGCTTGCCCGACTCCGGAGCAAGTTTTATTATTTCGCTATTGTTTTTTCGCTGCATCTATCCTCGTGATCATTTCACTCTGTTCTTAATGGATTTACTACTTTTAATTTTCATTATCCAACGTTCCGTCTAGTGACAGGTTACCCAGTTCGAACTGCTTTCTGTTCACTTGTGAACGCTTCCATTGTCTGCATGAATCTAACAGCACTCTCCCACTTCCTATCCCTATTGTATCACCAAACTCCTCTTCGATCTGTATCGTTTAAACAACATGTCGTCTGTCTTGCTTACCGTACAGATTCATCAAAGCGCATAAAAAATTTACGAAAAACACCATCTCAGCTGTTGTGCATATTCCGTTTATTTCCGCTCACGTCTCTTCAATGCATGGGTGTTGATTGCCCGTTAGACAGAGAAGGGTGGTGCAGTTGCGTATGCTAGCGTAATGTTGCGTTTATTCACCACACGAATCCAAGTAAAGTTCCCGTGAGTGGAACACTAGTTCTTACATCCTCATTCACCTCGGCCAGGACGCTGAATGAATTCAACTGGCCCGATGTATCAACTGTCAAGTCGCCGGAACCGACCTGCGGTGTTGACGTAACAAGCCAAATCATGGGCGAAATCCGTTACTATTTAATATCTGGCCCAGACGACCCTAAGCCGTCATTCTTGTTGAAGGACAGTGACAATCCACTAGCAGCACTGTTCGGCACTATTTAGTGCAAGGAAGTAATGCCTTTTGCTTGGTGATTGCGAACCGACATTCCAGCATTTAGAAGTTGCGGAACGATTTCCCGTGAAAGTCCTCGTCATATCAGTCTGATCGCAGCTGTCTCCACATGATTAACGCGAAGTGATCTCGGGATACGAATCAGTGCAAATCTGATTGGTTTCGGCTCCGGCATCCTTTTATACACTGATAGTCTATCATAATGTCCCTCATTGACTTGTTTGTCTTTGCTTCCGCTCATAGCATCTGGTTGTGACAGTGTCCATCTTGGAAGGCTGTACCGCGGAAATTCTTCTCATCTAAAGTCTACACCACTGCTCTCGGGCCATGTGATATTCGAAGGGAAATTCCCAACCTGATTCTTCATGGCAAGTACCTTGCACCTATCTATCTAGTCCTCTCCAGCATTTAGATCGAAATAATCACTAATTGCTCCCCTTGTCTTTCCACTTCTGGGCTGGAAGTTCCATTTAGTGATAGTCCGTCCAAATTGGAACGTACGAACTGCATTACTCTCCGAGTCTAACCCAGCTACTACGCAAACGCTACCAAATCGGCGTTGCACGCCTTGCTACTTGCTTTGCACCTCGAAAGTGCCATGCCGATTAACATCCTGTTCTCGCTATCACCGAACAACCTCGGTTTACTCATCTGGGTAGCCTATATGATATCTGGTGGTCACATCATCGAACAGGTTATAATACGTACTGCTGTGGTCCACCGGATGGTATTTCAAGGTTTGTATCGATATATGAGATCACAGAATGTGGTGTTTGTGACTTAGGTTACGGTGCGGACAACACCAGGAGCGGTCGTTGCGCGCTGAGGACATTAACAGACTGGCTGCGTTTAACCGAGTTTGTAACGCTGTTGTACTCGATCGTGTTCTTTGCTTGCCTGCAAAGTGGCTTTCTCTCTGTACTGTTGCTCAATATTGCAGCCAGTTGGTTGGGGGAACTCGTGCGTGGTGGCTGATTCGAGCAGGTGCACATTGTCTTCCTGAATGGGGTGCTCGGGACAGGTTACATACGGCCATTTCGTGTATATGACATGCCGACTTGGCCTTGGGGAAGATTGCTCGTGTGGAGTGTCAACAGCGTTTCTGCCGTCGTGTAGGGAATGTGAATATTCCCTCCAACAAACTGGTTTTGCTGCGCCAGTTATTGTGGTTTGTCCACTTCCTGTGTATGCCAGCGAAGCGTTTTGCCCCAACGCGCCCTGTTCGCTCGTGCATGACTGCATTGCTTTGCAGCCATAAGGTCACCGGTTCGAATCCGCGTAGAGGTGGGCGTCCTCGCGGTATACTCAGCCCATTGGAGAAATCACGCGGTGGTCAGCTGTCCACTTGCCGACAGCATATGAAATTGTTGACTTCGCGTCTTGTTGCCGTTAGATCTACACGCCTGCTTGGTTGGAGACCAAAGGAGGATGAACAGTATTTTGCCTCGAAACTAATCAAGATGTAATTCAGAGATAATTCATCACGGTCCGCTCTCAGTCGGCAGGACCAAAATCCTCACTACTCTTTAGAACTACAACAATTCCGTCCGTATACCTTCTAAGTGCGGTGTCCTACACAGTCGCTATGCGGAAAGTCCTAGGTAACTACTGTCCCCTGCACAGTTCGTACCAAGCATGGCAATAGAAGATAAGCCAGGCTATACCATACTCAACTGTCAGGCATGCAGGTCCGCAGCATTAGCTGCCGGTAGTCATGGCGTCGGAACCTGGCAGGGGTCCAATGGAGGACGCACCACTGACGAGACACCGAAGGTCGAAACGGCGTTGTCTGGTGCTTTTCCAGCCTTGCAAATCCTGCTGACAGAGCGGACCGTGATGAATTATTTCTGAATTATACTTAAACCCCACTACTTATTAGTTAATCGTGGTATGTCGCGAAGTGCGGACCAGTGGAAGATTTGTGCACATTCTAGATTGGATTCAATTAGCTAATACCTGACACTTGAAAAAAAACGTGTTCTGGAAGATAAACAATGTTCCTTTTTCTTACGGTACACTAGCTAAAGTGCTTTGCTCACCTTCAGCAAATGTGTCAAGACAATACTGACGATGCGGCGATTCTGCTTGTCATCTTCCGTTTGTTTCCATGGTCTTGCTTGGCCCTATGTTCATTCATTAGGCGATTTTATATATATATATATATATATATATATATATATATATATATATATATGCACGCTGGAGAGCCTATGATGCGCCGCGGCTGGTGGTGGATAGATCCTGACAGATGGTCTACCCACTGCTGCTACTGTTGTGCCGTTGGCTCATGCCCTGGGCGCCTCCTCGTTGTGACCGCTGGGTGGGTACTGGATTACCCCCTTCTTCCTGCTAAGATCCAGGACACCAATCCGCATGAATCAGTTATCCTGATGACACTCGTGATCAATTCTACACTGAGCTATCCTCCGTGATACGGTCTGTATCGAGGAGCGACCGGCTATTTCTGCTGGGTGATTTCAACGCGCGCGTTGGGCGTGATGCATCAGCGTGGACAGATGTTATCGGTCCGCATGACATTGGCTCAGCGAATGCGAACGGGGACAGACTGCTCGCACTGTGTGCCACTCACGTCTTGACGATCATGGACACTCGGTTTGCACTGAGCTCGAGTGATATAGCAACTTGGACGCACCCAGGTAGTGGTCACGCTCACCTACTCGACTATGTCATCGTACGTCAGCGTGATATGCGTGAAGTGCGCATGGCACGTGTACTGCGTGGAGCTGAGTGTGGCACTGATCACAAGTTGGTGCGGACCAAACTGTACATATATTTTCGTAAATCGATGTATTGCACTCCCGCCGTGAATCGGCGTAAATTTAACATTCTCTCCCTCGGTACTGTGGCGAAACGTACTGAGCTGGAGAAGGCGATGGCTGCATGCCTGTGTGATGTGGACTGCATAGCCACAGTGGGCCACATTCAAGACCAGGTGACAGCTGCTGCCGAGGAGTCCATCGGGCACGCAAACTGTAAGCGGCCTGCTTGGTTTGATGAGAACAATGCGACGATTGGCGCATTGGTGTCAGAGAAGAATGCAGCATTTGCTGCACATGTGGCAGACCCCAGTGACTTGGGAAAGAGTAGTCAGTTTCGCAAACTTCGACGGCGACTGACCCGAGAGCTCCGTCGCATTAAAAATGCATGGTGGACGGAGGAGGCGAAGCAGATGGAACTTTTCGCCGATCATCGCTAACACAATGAATTCCTTCACTCCTTGAAGGCGGTGTATGGACCGAGATTAGAGACGCTGAGGACGCTGATCGATGGTAGTTCAGACGCTGCCTGCACTCAGACTGCAGAAATAATGCAGATCGGACCAAAGCACTTTGACTGTCTCTTAAACAACCGTTCAGAGATCGACTGGCCTACATTGAACGGCCTCAAGCAGCACGATGTGAAGGCGAATCTGGCGGATATGCCGACACTGGATGAGACGCATAGAGCATTTGCTCAGCTGCGAAACGGCAATTGTGCCTAGGCCGACGGGATCCCGCCTGAAGTATTGAAACACGGCGAACCCGCGTTGGTGACTGCACCACTTGGTACAACGCATATGGATTAAGGAGGAGGCGCTTCCTGAGCTGAAGGATGCCTTTGTGTTACCACTGCACAAGGGCAAGGGGAGCAAACAATGTTGCACCAACTATCGTGGCATCAACTTGCTGAGTTGTGTGGGCAAGGTGATTGCCCGAATCCTGCTCAACCGCCTCGTCATTTAGGTTGTGGAACCTAACGTGGCGGAAGAGCAATGTGATTCCGTTCGGGTCGCAGCACTATAGATATGGTGTTTGCGGCTCGTCAGTTGCAGGAGAAGTGCCGAGAACGACACCAGCCATTGTACTCGCGTTTTTGTTGAGTTCGCCACAACCTTTGAGACCATAAACCGCGAGGCATTGTGGCTGGTGTTGAGTAAGTTTGGTTGCCCGCGTAAGTTTGTAAGTTTAATTGAATGTCTGCACATTGGTATGCGGGTGAGGGTGCAGCTGAGTGGAGAGACCTCGGATGACTTTGCAGTTGTCTCTGGTATGAAGCAAGTCTGTGACTTAGCTCCTCCCCTGTTTACTATTTATCTTCATGCAGTGTTATCTTTTGCTTTTGATGCCGCTTGTGCTTACGGTGTTCGTGTTGAGCACCGTATTGATGGTGGGTTGGTGAACATTCGTCATTTCGGTGCGAGAACTCTAGTCTATGGGACCACTATCCTTATATTACTGTTTGCTGACGACTGTGCGTTGTTTTCACACAGCGCGGATGAGTTGCAGCATGTGACTGGTGGTCTAGCTTCTACAGCGGCCAAATTCTGGCTCATCACCAACACAAGCGAAACTGTCTGTTTCTTTCAGCCTTCACCGGAGGTGCAATCTTCAATATTGCCGCGAATCATCATTGGTGCCGAAGTATAGGAAACCACCTCCCGCTTCAGCTTCCTTGGGAGTGTGATGTCGACTGATCAGCAGCTACACGTTGAGCTGCGTATTCGCGTGTCGAAGGCAGCGGCGTTATTCGGGATGTTTGAGTACCGAGTGTGGAACAACCATCAGGTTACCATGCACGAAGCTGACGGTGTACGAATGCATGG